ATACTTGTTAAACCTTTTTGCGATGAACTCCTCATGAAAGAAAATAAAAGAATGAAAAGCTTCCATCAATTGAACTTAAGGTATGCCTCCTATACTCTCTTGAGCTTTTGTGTTAAAAATTCTATGTTCTCTCATATCCTTTAAGCCAACTCCTTTGTCACTTTCATGAAAGGAATTGAATATCTATGGATTTAATTATGCATCATGTGACTTGAATTGTATATTCTTTGATGATGCTCTTGCCTAAAATCATGCTTATGCTTAAATTTTATGCTATATATTGGTTTCATGATTTTCTAGGCGTATGGATTGTTATACTTTGAACATGTTTCATTTGTGGAATTACTTTAGCTCCATAAGATTATGATGAGTTTAAACTATTATGAGCAATATTTGGTATTCTACATAATACTTGTGCTGTGATTGTTAAATCTTCTAAATTGCATATTGGTATCCGTTTGGCATCCTGTTTGGTATCTTTGAGGAGAACATTTCAGTTATGAGCTTTCAATTATCATATCTCTTATTGATTTTTCCAAATAAAATAAGGGGGAGAATTTAAACTTGACTAATTTTTTCAAAATCCTCTCAGTTTCGATTTTATTTTTGGTATCAAACTTATGGGCTTGCACCTTCACATGTTGCTATCTTTTTTGCCCATTATTGTCAAATGGTCTGAGCTTCAATTGTATGATCATTATGTGCTATTATTTTTTTGGTATCATAGAGCTATCATGATATGGATGATTATTTGTGCTATAATGAGACTTATATTCTTTCATCCTATATATTGTACCATACTCCCTACTTGTGCTTGATTTTGTTGAAAATGTCACCAGGGGAGAAAAAGAGACTTGATTGTTTTGGTATCTCTGATTATTTTGGCATCTCTATGCTTTTGGTATCTCTATTCTTACAACATGACCTTTGAGCTGATTAATTGTTGATAATGTAAGAGTAAGATTGTTTTCTTGAAAAGAAGAATGACTTGAACTTTAGCTCTATATTTATGCTCTTGCTTAACAACCTTGTTTGATCTATGCTCTGTTATGTCTATTATAGTCTTGAGATTTGTATGCTTTTGCTTAATCTTCATATTCGTATGCTCTTGCTAATAAATAAATAAATAAATAATTTTTTTTTTAGAATTAGAACACGCTCAAATGCTTCATATATACTTATTAACAATTTGGTATCTCCTTGGCTTTTGCTTGAAAATAAAATGAAATAGCATGAATTCTTCATTGACTCATTGTTGTCATATTTTTTTAATTTTTTTTTTTTTAAAAAGCACAGAATATGTGCCTCATTCTTGACCTTTTGAACTTCTCCTTATTGCACTCATGGCATTTATCTACACTTGATGCTACATTATGATATCCTTCATGTGTTTTTGATAATGGCACAAGGGAGAAATTGTGATGTTTTGAGCTTAAATGTTTTGGATTGAGATTATGGCATAATGTCACAGGGATTTGGTATAATGTCATAGGGGGAGGACTTGTTATGATTTAAAGATAGCGGGAGAAATGATATTGAACTGTCAAAAGAAAATTGGTGCTATGTATATATTTTTTTTGGTATCTAAAGCCTAGGCAAGATTTTTAAAAATTAAATCTCCTAAGTTTATCTGTTGATATCTTTATCAATTATGCTATGATATATAGCTAATGTGCACATGCTTATATCTATAAGAAGCAAACTTTCAGAGGGAGCATGACTTGAGGAGGAACTTTTCTTCCTCTCAAACAAATTAAAACATCATAGTGTGCCATCATAAAAAAAGAGAGAGATTGTTAGCCATATTGTATTTTGATGATTATTTGATTATGTTTCGATTTTGTTCTTGATAAATTAAATGGATCAATATATTATGTTTTATCTATATTAATCTAATCTATCTCTTTGGAGGCTCAAATGATGTTAAAAAGATATATTCCAAGACCAAAACAGGCCCAAAATAGTAGCAAAAGAGCTCTAGAACTGCAAGAAAAAAGTTAGCAAGCTGTAAAGGCCTTTGCCCGGCCGTACAGGTCATTTGGTTGGTCGACAGATATATTGGCCATCTAGACAGGTTTTTGGCTAGATAACGGACCGGACATCCGGGAGGACAACTGGCCATGGAATTTTTTCCCAGTTTTGCTTTAGTTTAGTTCTGCTTCATTCCGGCTGTCAAACCAGTAGTATAGTCAACGATCGCGACAATCATCTTTCACAACTAGGACCTGACCGGATGTCTAGGAGGACATTCGAGAGGACATCCAGGCGGATGACCATCAAGAGAAAAACTTCATTTGGGACATTCGGGTGGACGACCACTCTGTGTTGCAATAGCTAATTTTCAAAGTTCAACTTCGCAACGACTAGCTAATTCACAGCCATCTTCTAACAGGCAAAACTCACAAGGACTAGAGACGACTTGTGAGCAATGAATTTTATAAAATTCTCACCCATCACCATCACATTTCCTCAGCGAGAAGAAGGAATGTGCCATGTCAAACAGAACAAAGCACTAAGCTCTGCTATACATATAGAGTTGCAGAGCTCTGTGAAGAAATAGAAAGTGAGAGACAACGAACTCAACATTTTCCCATCATTCATCAATCACATATTCTCTCTACACTAATTGCCTAAAGTGTTCTTCATTTCGAGTTAATCACTTTTCCTTCAAAAACCAAAGACTGAGCTATAGCCTTAAGCTCATCTATCTGTGAGAGGTGATTAGAAAATCCAAGAGACTTGAGCTAAGAAACTTTGTTTGATGTTGTCATCAGTCTCAAACTCATCCTTAGAGTTATCTGAAGATTTTCCATTATTGTTTGATTATTTTTCCTTCAGAAAACACACAAAGAGCTTAGCCTTAAGCATATTTGCTTTTGAGAGGTTGTACCAAAAATCTGAGAGCTTCACTGTTGTATATCCATCTGTGAGAGATATTTATTGTGTGCTTTCTTTGAAAGCAAAAACATCATACTCATCTTGTAAAGGTCACTAGCAAACCTGTAAAGCTAGGAAAATTAAGGTCTCTAGCAAGCCTGTAAAGTTAGAATCTGTAGAGGATTGCTCCATGTGTTGAGAGGTTGCTAGCACCCTTGCAAAACTAGAAGATAACAGAAAATCTCAACTGAGTTTGAGGAGTGGATGTAAGCTTGGTTGAAGCCGAACCACTATAAATCGTGTTTACTTTCTCTTCCCCTATGTCTTTAATTTGCTTGCACTGCCATGTTTATATGACATTATTTGTGATAATTATATGATTTTCCTACTATTCTAATTGGTATATTAGTTTGTAATTTTTATTGGGGGATTATTTATTTTAATTTGCAGAAACCTAATTCACCTGCAGAAATCTCATTCACCTCCTTCTTAGGTTTCTTTTTGGATAACATGCATGATTCTCTTTGAGGACACTCTTTATGATTTGAATTTGTAATTTTTTATGCATCAATGTAAATAACCCTTAAGCACTTTTTTCATCTAATAAAATCTTTAAATATTATTATATAAAAGTATTATAATAGATCATAATACAAAAAAAACCACCTTAAGTATAATTAAAGACCCAATGCATCACTTTAGGTATAACAAAAAACATGAGAAATTAAAAAAGGCCTTTTCGATTGTAACCAAGTTATAATTTGTATATTATAGAATTTTTATTATTATTTTTTCAGTAAAAATATTTTGATACAAGTGGAATTAATGATTTTTGGTAAATTTGGTTAACACAAATGAAGATTTGATTCCAGGTTGAACATATACCCTTTTTTTTTTTTTTAACTTTGAAATAAATTATTTTTATGAGCTTTTTACATAGAATTACACTCATAGTAAAAAAAATTTATCACTCATTAACAAATCTATTATATTTAATTTTCAATTGTTAAAAATTTTTACACATAAAATATTAAGGTTCAAAATTAATTTTCTATTTTAAAAATAAATTCTCGTGAATCGCACAGATTCACCTAATAGTATTCAAGTGGCACCGTTTGGGAAGTGGTTTTGTGGGTTTTTTTTTGGTTATTTTAGCCACAAGACAAAATAAGTTATTTTAGCTACAACAAACAAAACAGCACATCCAACCTATAATCATTACACTTTTCTCTAAAAAAAAAAGTTAAAAAAATCAAAAAGTCAAAAAGTCCTTCCTAAACCAAGCTTTTTATTCCAGTCTAAAATAGTCAAAAAAGTCAAATAGCCAAAAAGCCAACCCACTTCCCAAACCAGCCCTCAATAATAAAAAATTCTAAAGTAATTCTCAAAACAAAATGCAAATTACAAGATATGTGCCTCATTTTTTTGGGTGCTCGAAGATATGTTTCTCATGTTTGATTTACCGCTATGATTAAATTGGATAATTTATAATTTATCTTATTCTAAGAGGGCATTTTGTCATAAAAGCATTATCTCTTGATAACTTATCCCAACTGTTTCTCATGAAAAAATAATTTTACTATGTGAGATAAAATCTCTCATATTAGTTATTCCAAATTATAATAATTGAACCAAAACGGTACATTATTTTATATTTAAATTATTCAATCCAAACACACTGTTCAGTGTAATTTCCAAAATAAAGCATCAACATCATCGCTATTTTTAGCGGGACATGCCGCGTCATGAAGCTTAGAAGAAACATTAATTATTTATTAGTCACAATGTAACTATAACAACAATCCAATCATCGCTATTTTTAGCGGGACATGCTGTGTCATGAAACTTAAAACAAACATTAAGTATTTTTTAGTTACAACGTAACTATAACAACAATCCAACACATTACAGAGTAAACAAACAAAAAGTGTGGATAGGTCTATACTTTTAATAATTCACAGCTTGACACAGCTCAACAATCCAAGATTGATTTATTCTCTCTTTATGTGCAAGTAAAACTATTTGTATACTCACCAAAAAAAAAAATTTATTTGTATAGAAATTATTCATAAAGTGATAAACATACAAGATATAAGAGAATGGGTCTCATATATGAGATTTATCCGTAAATCTCATCCTCTTGCATCTTGTATGTGACTCATTCTATGAATAATTTCTATACTTGTAGCCAGAGTTTTAAAAGGCTTTTCTGAGGCTCGCCTTGATACTCGCCTTGCCTTGAGGCTAAGGTAAAATGCATCAAGATTTTGATTTTTAAGCATTACTCCAGTTTGAGACATGCGCCTTAGGTGCGCTTTGTACGCTTTTTGCGTATAAACATGTGAGGAGTATGCACATGCAAAGGTTGCCTTGGGCTTTTGTTAAACTTAGTCTATTGGATTGTTTAAATATAAAAAAATAAAAAGAATCCTTTTTTGCAACTATATTTTACAAGAAAAATTAAGTAAATGATCAATCAAGAAAAAATACAGTTAATGGTCAAGTGAGAAACTCAATCACTGAAGTTAAGAATATCAATTTCACTTTCAGTGAAGGAAAACTTCCTTCTATGCAGTAAAATGTTCAACGCATTAAAGCGAAAAGTATTTACACTTTTATATTTAATTTTGTTTTTATTTTTTTTACTATTTTAAAATATTTAATTTATTCACTAAATATTAAAATTTAAAATTTGAAATGCTTACGCCTCAACGCCCTAAGGCTTACGTCTCGCCTCATAAGGATAAAACGCCTCGAGGTACGCATTCGCCTTTAAAAATTTTGCTTGTAGCATAGCTCTTCATCTGCTCATTCCTCCTTCAACCACTGGTGCCACACCCATTTCACGATTCTGTTTCTCCACATTGCCATGCCATCCTAAACAATTTACAATAACCAACTATCATCAATAAGAATGCATAAAGGCTGTTTGCACTACAACAAAAAAGGTCTATGGTGACGAAAACGCATGACGAAAAAATATTTTGTCTCCAAATATATGTTTTAGTGATGAAAATAAGATTTCATCTCCAATTGTATTATTTTTAGAGACAAGAACAAAATTTCATCACCAAATGCTTAAAATAAATAAAATAATAGATGACGAAATTTTTTTTCATCTCTAAATTTTATTTTTCGTCGCAAAAAAAATTCCCACTCTTGGAAATTTTGGCGAAAAATTTGGGTGCCATATTAGAAACAAAAAGTTTCGTCACCATTGTAAAATTTTTTGGAGACAAATATAATATCGTCACCTATAATTTAAGAGACAAAACGATGCCGTTTTGTCTTCCCAATTCTTCTCTCTCGCACTTTTTCTCTCTCTCTCTCTCCCCCTCTCTACTTCAGGTTGTAACCCCTCCAACTCGCTGCTCGCAAGGTAAGATTTCATTCCCGATTCAGTGTTTTGGCGAAACCATGCTTCGATTAGCTCACCGAGTTGGCTCCTTAGTGGCTTCAAGTCGCAACCCTCCCACTGTGCTTCGATTGGCTTCACCACCACCACAACCACTGTCATCATCATCAACTTCTTCAAACCCCCTCCGGTACCTCTCTCCCTCTCCGTCTTTCTCTCTATGCTTCAAGTGTATAATGGTTTGATTGTTTATCTGGGTTTAAAATGGATAATGGTTTGATTGTCTATAATGATTTGATTGTTTATCAAGGTTTGAATTTGGGGTTTTATTCCCTCTTTTCTTTGATTTCTCTTTCTTTGAATTTGGAGTTTTACCCATGTAGACACTACCCATGTCTTTTCACTGCCAATGCACCACTACATCTTTGTTAATGAGACTTCACAATTAAACAAAATTCAGTTGAAATTTGAAATACAGCTGAGATTTCAATATTTTTTGTTTTCAAATGGCAGTTATAATGGTAAATTGACAAAAGGAAAATGGTAAATTGATTGTTCTTGAAAAAAATGGTAAATTGATTGTAAATTGACAAAAGGAAATGGTAAATTGATTGTTTTGCAAATCCTTAAGCTATCATTCAAGAGTGTTTTGTGCTTCTAGTTTCTGGGAGAAAATTTTTATAATGATTTGGAAGTATAGAGGAACATTTAATTTCTATAGCTCATTAGAAACTTTGTCAAAGCTTTAGATTGGAAATGTGGTATTTATGTGATGTATGTTGAAAATAAACTTAAAAGCTTCTTGTTTGACCTATGAAGGATGAATATGGAGAGTATGCGCAATAGTGAAGGCAGTTCTCATGGAGAAAATACAAACTCAAGTCAACAAAAAGGTAGAATGCTAATTTTGCTTATTGATCTAATTTATCTTCCCTAACGGTTCGTGTAAATTAAAATTTTCAGAAGATAACTTGGAAGTACATGGCCAATGGAATTAGAATGGTGAGGCTGCTCCATTAACTGCTGAAAAGGTGAGATCTGCTGCCAAAGCTAGTCTTGCTACTGCTGCAACAAAGGCAAAACTGTTTGCAGATCATGAAGAGCGTGAAATTCAAAGGCTATCTGCTAATATTATAAATCATCAGGTATATTTGTTGGGATGCTCTTATTTTTTGAAAACTTTAATGATTCATTACCTTATGCTCTTCCTAATTCTAGTGTTTTCAATAAATAGTCAATTCTTTTGATTAAATTGCATGGGCATTGCCTTAGGCTTCAATGTAAATTAGTTTTTCATAATTTTTACAATTATATCCTTGGTGTATATCAAATTGTTGTATTTGGTTGCAATTTTTTTCTTCTTCCTTGGTTTTCCTTGTTTGTCTAGGTATATTAGTGTTAAGTTCCTAATTTTCCCAAAAGCCTAAGCTATTAGTAAGGCCATTTTTGGGAACAGGCTAATTTAGTAACTTTTTGGCTATTTGGCTAAAATATGGGCTAAAAAAAACTAGTATGTTTGGGATGACTTATTGGATTTTTTACGAAAAGATGTGCAAAAAGTAGAGAGAAAAGAGAATCTTTGATTTTTTGGTATGAGTTGTTGGCTTTTTGGCTAATTTAGTAACTTTTTGACTTTTTGGCTAAAAAGAAGGTTCCCAAACGAGGCCTAAATGGTAGTTTTAGTTCCACGATGGTTCTTGAAGAAAATTCTTATCAATTGATTGAAGCATTTTAATTTAATTTTTTTTTTAAAAATCTTTTAGCAATTAAGATATTAGTATGATTACAAACAGTGTTATGAGAGAAGAAAATAAAGGTAAATGGTGGTTGGTGGTGAGGTTGGGTTGCTAGAGAAAAACACTTTGATCTCTCTACATGATAGCGAGACATAAATTATTTCTCTACATGAGTAAATTGGCATCGAAACTACCTTTGGGTCTTTATTTCAAATTTATTTGAATTAGTACATTTGATTTTTTTATCATAACAAGCATGATGTCCAAATTTGCAGGCTGTATGATCTCCAGGCCAAGAAAACAAAAAGGAAACATTTTATTGAAGGAATTTCTCGTAGGATCAATTGTCATTTATGGGGTAAGGAGTGGAAAAAATAATTGCACTATAACACTTTCTCCAGGCCAAGAGCATAAGGTTGAGGGTTTGGCATTAAACAGAGCTTCATAGATTCTGTGGGTCACTGTAACGCTTTATGAACCAATTCCCAATGGTTTCTATTCTATAGGTGCAGTGAGTAGTATATATTTTTGTTGAAATGTGCAACTAGTAGAATGTAGTTTTTGCTTTTCTGTGCTAGGATCTTTGGTGCAAGTGAGCATGTTTGGAGATTAGAAGTGATTAGCAAAAAAAGGATATATTATTTGAATTTTGAATGCAGGTATAGTGTGCTAAAGTTTCTTGCCTTGTCTGTGGCTGATTCCATCAAACTTGCACATCACTTGTAATCATGGATCAGCATGTCATAGTGTATATGTATGTGGGCAGTCTACAGAAGTAGATCAGCATGTCATAGTGTATATGTATGTGGGCAATCTAACAGTCTATAATTGTAAGTGGTTTTCTTTCATATTGGATGATGCTGCCTTTATCTCCTCTCATGTGCACCTAATACTTAAACTTGCACATAGTTTTATGCAATATGATGCTTGGGGATTCTAAAAATCTATAACATTTATTGTACTAAATAGTAGAAAGGCACAAGGAAAATATGGTAGTGTATTACTTGACTTTTAAAAACTGTTTAGGACCCTTTGTGAACCCAACAAATTGAAATGGCTGGTAAATATCTCATTGTAATTAGATTGACCCTAAGTTTTGCATTTGGCATCCAGTGGTCTGTTTCTTTGATTTATGTATGGTGTAACAAATGTCTCAAGAATCCAAATATATATATGGAAAATGAAAAAAAAAATTGTTACGCATGTGCACTAAATAAATGTTTAGCAAAAGCATGCACTCCAGTTTTTAGAAGTTGTAGAGTTCTTTAAATGCTTGAAAATGAAAATTGAGCAATGGCTGTTGGCTCAGTACTGCCAAGTAAGACACTGATCAAATGTGTAGTAGTAACCTGATTATAGGTTTAATTTTGGACACAACTCAATACAAAAACTCCTTGCCCTTGGCCACATAGCTAGTGGGAAAGGAGAAATTTATACTCAGTTTTTTTTTTTGGTCTTAAGATACTAAGATGCCTAATTCTGAAAAGCCCTAGAAAGATCAACCTTAAAAAAAAATGTTTTGTTCTTATATCGATACAAACTTCTTTATATTCTATGCCTTCTATTGTTTTTTACATTTTGACTCTTCGATTGAGACACTACATACATTGTGCTCAATATTTTTCCAGTTCTGTTTTATCCAGTTATTATGTAGTTTTTCCTTGTATGTCATTACTTTGGCTAAAAATGATTAATAAGTAAACTATTTCTAAACATAGTTCTTTTCAAAAATGCATTTTTTCACACTTAAGCTTGAAAATAGTCCATCGGAGGCCAAAATTGTATAACAGCCATGAGACGACATGGAAAACACCTCAAACACATCGGGAGGGACCAATGTGAGTTGTGAAAACTTACAGAACTAGCACGTGACTCCCGATTTGAAAACTAAGTCTAAAAATGTACTTTTTCACACTTTAAGCTTGAAAATAGGCCATCGGAGGCTAAAATCGTGCAACAGGTACGAGACGGCCTGGGAAACACCTCAAACACCTCAGAATGGACCAATGTGAGTTTTGGAAACTTACAGAACTAGCACGAGACTTTCGGTTTGAAAACTAAGTCCAAAAATATACTTTTTCACACTTAAGTTTCAAAATAGGCCATCGGAGGCCAAAATCGTGCAACAGCCACGAGACGGCCAGGGGAACACCTCAAACACCTCGGGAGGGACCAATGTGAGTTGTGAAAACTTACAGAACTAGCACGGGACTCTCGGTTTGAAAACTAAGTCGAAAAATGAACTTTTTCAAACTTAAGCTTCAAAATAGGCCATTGGAGGCCAAAATCGTGCAACAACCACGAGACGGCCCAGGAAACCCTCAAACTCCTTGGGAGGGACCAATGTGAGTTGTGAAAACTTACGGAACTAGCACGGGACTCCCGATTTGAAAACTAAGTTAAAAAATGTACTTTTTCATACTTAAGCTTGAAAATAGGCCATCGGAGGCCAAAATCGTGCTACAACCACGAGACGGCCCGGGAAACACCTCAAACACCTCAGAAGGGACCAATGTGAGTTTTGAAAACTTATGGAACTAGCACGGGACCCCTGATTTGAAAACTAAGTCCAAAAATGTACTTTTTCACACTTAAGCTTGAAAATAGTCTATCGGAGGCCAAAATCGTGCAACAGCCATGAGATGTCCTCAGAAACACCTCAAACACTTCGGGAGGGACCAATGTGAGTTGTGAAAACTTACGGAACTAGCACAGGACTCCCGATTTGAAAACTAAATAAAAAAATGTACTTTTTCACACTTAAGCTTGAATATAGGCCATTGGAGGCCAAAATCGTGCAATAGCCACGAGACGACCCGAGAAACACCTCAAACACCTCGGGAGGGACCAGTGTGAGTTGTGAAAACTTACGGAACTAGCACGGGACTCTAGGTTTGAAAATTGTGTCCAAAATTACACTTTTTCACATTTAAGCTTGAAAATAGACCTTCAAGAGCCAAAATCGTGCAACAGCCACGGGACGGCCGGGGGAACACCTCAAACACGTTGGGAGGGACTAATGTAAGTTGTGGAAACTTACGAAACTTGCACCGGGTTCTCGATTTGAAAACTAATTCGAAAAATGCATGTTAAATTGTATATTTTTAAAGATAAGATAATAATTGTCTAATTTGTATTTATTTATTTATTTTTTTTTTGTGTTTCATTTTTTTGTAGATTCAAGATTTGATATGGACATGTTTGGTAATTTGGAGGGCAGATGGTAGCTCATTTTGTGTTTTTGTTCATATTACCTTACATGTATTTTGCTTGCGTTGTAAATTTTATATTTTTGTTGGTATTATAGGGCATGTTGGGTAATTCGCCCTTGATATTTTATTTTTGTTGATATTAGTAGACATGTTTTGTTGTTGGATATTAGGAGATGTGTTTGGTAATCCACATGCGGTTGATATGGTATTTTTGTAGATATTAGTAGACGTTATTTATGGATATTAGGAGACATGTTTATAATCCACATGCAGTTCATATTATATTTTTGTGGATAGTGCTGAAATTCGATTGTGATGTTTATGAAAATGAATAGATTTTTATATTGATTTGTAATAGATATTTTATTGAACAGGTTACTGGAATGCGCAGGGAATTGTTACTGAAAAGAAAAAATTTCGAAAGAAAATAGTATCCCCATTTTCAAATTTTTATTAGTGACGAAATAAAAAATGTCGCTATTAGTTTTCAAAAACATGACGAATAATTTTGTCACTAATTATATAATACGAAACAAATAATTTCGTCACATTTGCTGAATATTTCGTTGCTAAATTGAAATATTTGGTGACAAAATATTTTTGTCATTGAAGAATTTTCTTTTCTGCTCATTTTAGTGACGGATTTTTTTGTCACCTTAATCCATATCATTGGTGAGGAAAACTTTCGTCACTAAAATCTATTTGGTGATGAAATATTTCGTCATGAAAAACAATTAAAATAACATATTATTTAGTTTTGGCGACGAAATTGATGTTATAGAGGACGAAAAATTCAAGTTTTAGCGACGAAACATTTCGTCGCCAAAAATAAAAAATAGGCGATGAAACTGTTTTTCGTCACCAGGTACTTTCAGCGACGACGTATAGACCATGAACGTGGTGACAAAGTTTTTTCGTCGCAGATCACTTTAGTGACGAAAATTTGATGTTTGGAGATAAAATCAATCTGTCACCAAAGACCTTTTTTATTGTAGTATTGTTTGGGTAAGTAGGTTATGAAATTGTATTATATATCTTGGCTAATCTCCAATCTCATGTTTGGATACAAAATTAGTCAATTGGACTGATTATTTGCCCAAACGGTATAACCTCCATATGGGGGGCTTATTGAGTTTCTTGAAGGAGGTGGAATACAAAATTGGGGATTAAGAGAGTCCATATTAAGGAGTTAAAATATTATCAAATCAATCATTACATTATATAGTCAATATCTAAGTAATTTCAAACAAATATAAAATAGGAAAAAAAAAATTAGACATAATAAAAAGTATGACGAAGTCGTAGCTTTTGTTTTTTTGTTAAAATTATGCGGCGAGTCATATTGAAACTTCTACTTTGGTGATAAATTTACAAATTACTTTTTGTGGTCAGTAGAACGACTGAATAAGAAATGATTACACTAATTCTATCCTAATTCAGGAGCATTAAAAATGTGGATATGAAATGTAATTTGAAGGGCTGATAATATCAAAAAGTATTCAACCCAAAACTAGATTATGTGCATGTCCTAAAGTGATAAATATAGTTAGCTATATGATTGTGCACTGTGGCAGGCCAAGTGGGGGCTGTTGGCCCATTGACTTCAGAATTTATTTATAATTTATTAATATTTTTATTTTATTTTATTTTTGTGGCTCCACAAAGTGTTTGGACAATACTAATTTGCTACGTCTAAATATTTTATTTTATTTTTAATTTTAAGTTTTGATTCTCTTCTCTCAATTTTTTATGGGTGTAGTTTTAATAAGACTTGACCTTCATTTGACAAAAGTCCTAATTCTATTATTAATATTGTGTATAAATATATAAGAATATTATATATCATTGACATATTTTATCAAAAATTTTATATTTTATGTGATGGTGATTTCTCACCTATGATGGGAAGTCTTATTTATTACTTTTATTGACAAATAAACATGAACGTTGAAACAAAATAATAGTATAAATTTGATATTAAATAATATTTATATATGTGTTTTTATATTTAGAGAGAGAGAGAGAGAGAGAAAGGAGAGAAAAAAATACCTATGGCCATGTCGAAACGACGGTTTTTGAGCTCGCGGTACTCTTGACACAAGGCGCAGGACTCGCAACAGCAATGAACCAAGCAATCACCACAAGGGCTTTCATGCAATAAGTATTGTTGCCTCATCTTTGAACGATAGAAGCAAGAGTAGAAGCATGGACACCCCACCACAATTGATATTAATGTGTATGGAGCCCCACTTGCCCCACATGCTGCACCCAAAAAAACATCCCCACCAAACACATCTTATTATAATTTCCAATCGCACACGTCTATTGTAAATGTACTAAATAGTAATAGCGTAGTGCTAAAGATTTAAAAATTTTAATAAAATTTTCATCAATAATGTACGACTTTGTGAGTTCCACACTTACTTCAGACATTTAATAAAAATTTTAACAAAATTTTTGGAATGCACTATTTTTCATAATAATAACTAAAAAAATCTTTAAAATAAATGTTAAGTATATACGAATAGAGTAATGCAGTGATTTCAAAAACAATTTTTAAAACCGTTGCTAAAAGTAGTTCTTTAAAAACTTTAGTGGGGTAATTTTCAAAAATTAAATTTTTTTAACTATGGGTAAAATAATTTTTTTTGAGGGTGCGGATGGATCTATATCGATATGAATAGTTCATTTTGTATGATTGAAATAAAACATGACGAATGCCGAAATCTAGTTTATTAAACATTGACAGTTAGAAAAAAAAAATCAATTCTTGAAATTATAGATGTCATGGGATATGTGATCTGATCATATAAGTATCACTATTTTAGCAGAGTGCTTACAATTTTATTTTATTTTATTTTATTTTTAAATACAATTAAGAAGACAATTCCCAAATATATTAACTATTTCACTTCATATGAAAAACTAAAATTTAACAGGTCCTTATTAGTACTTACATGTTGATCCTTTGTCTACAATCTCAGCAATCCGTTCGAAAGTGATGCAAGGACACCAGCAAGTTATGCAACCTGCAAAAAACCAAGTAAAAATGTAACAAAACAAAGACACGTGAAAACATGTGCACTGAGCGAGTGGATTGCGTACAACTTATTTGGTAACTTTTTATACATATATATATGTAAAAAATTAAAAAATTAATGTGACAATCATAGTTCTAAATACCGGCCGATACGCTACGTATCGGTCGATACGCATCGGAAAAATAAGGTACCGCGACAGATACAGGTCGATATACCGCTGAGATTTAAAATTGCTGGAGTATCAACCGAGTCCCGGTACATATCGGTCTGTAACCATTACACAAGTTGTGACGGGCCGATACTCACCGATTCGGATCGGTACAGGAAAGAAAAAGTTGAACAATTTGTGAAATGATTTTTAAAATTTCATCGCCGCAATACCTGATTCCCGATATGTACCGATCGATACTACCGATACCAATACCGATACGCTGCGATAAATACCGTTACGTTACTCGATATACGATTTAGAACCTTGGTGACAATTTATAACAAATAAATAAATAAGTGAGTTATTTAGGTGGTTGTTAAACCACCTCTAATCTTAAAAAACAGCCAGGTCAGAAAAACGATGGAACTTACAGTTAGGGACATCGTCGAAGCAGTCGCAAAGGCCAGTGGACCATGGTACTTGTGATTTAGGCAGAGCCTGGATTGCTGGTTGGGGCTTTTCAGGGTAGTATTGGTTGCCCGAGCTAACTGGGACTCCACTTTGGGGTTGGCCGTACAGCGATGGCGCTGAGGGTGGTTGGTGGTGGGGCATCTCATGGTAGAATTGGTTGGTGGAGCTAACTGGGATGCCATTCGCTGGATGGCTGTATGGCGGTGGGGCTGATTGTTGTGGTGACGCTGTGTATTTCTGATAATCAGTTGGGTTTGACGAGTACATGATGATGATGGTGGTGGATTTAGAAATGGAGTTTTGTGGATTAATGATTGAGAGAGATCTTGAAGAGGGAGAGAGAGAGAGAGAGGATAGGAAGAATCAATGAGTCAGATATGGATGTTTGGATGAGTTGATTGATCCTTTGGTGATATTTATATATGAATTTGGTCAAGGAGTGCACACGCATCTATTAGAACTTCGGAATAGACTAGTTTCATATCTGTTTTTATGAAATTGAGTTGTATAAATAAAAATTGAACAATTATACTAAATTTTGTTTACCAATGATTTTAGTTAACAACACCAGAAATGTTTCAATGTGCAATAACCAAGGTATGTAGTTTTATCTTAAAATTATGTAATTTTTGTGTTTAGATAAATTTTTTCATAAAAATAATAAGTTGAATATAAATTCGCATAAGTACGTGAAAATGTAAAACTTATTCGAATTTATGTTTAATTTATAAATTTTTGTGAGATCACTTATGTAAATTTATAAAAATTTGCGTGATTTTGTGGCAGGCTGCATCACACGGTGGAATTTTTGTCATATTTTATATATGACTAATGTTATTAAAAATTGAAATTTTTTATATAAAATTAAAGGGTGAACTTCACCCATCTTGATATGTTTAGAAAAAAAAAAAAATGTAATTTGTATCATATTTTTTACATAATTATATATATATATATTTATATATATTTTGAAATTTTAATTTATCTAATAGTTAAAATATTTTTCATCAATAATTTATTAGAGTGTGAATAAAAAAAAGATGCCGCCATATCTTTTCTACTAAAATGTATATTAATCATGTGTATTTCAATATCTACTTACCATCTACATTAGTTTGGATCAATGTAATCTTATTAAAATAGATGTTAGTGTAATTACGTTAAAAATATGAGACTAATTGAATCAAAATGTTACATTATTTTATATTTGAATTATTAATTCCAAACACACTGTTAAGTCTAATTACCAAAATAAAGCATCAACATCATCACTATTTTTAGCGGGACATGCCGCGTCATGAAGCTTAAAACAAAGATTAATTATTTATTAGTCACAATGTAACTATAACAACAATCCAACACATTACAGAGTATGCAAACAAAAAAAAAGTGTGGATAGGTCTATGCTTTTAATAATTCACAGCTTGACACAGCCAAACAATCCAAGATTGATTTATTCTCTCTTTTATGTGCCAGTAAAAGTATCTGTATACAAATTATTAGAGCGATAAACATACAAGATATAAGAGAATAAGTTCCATATATGAGATCTATCTGTGAATCTCATCCTCTTGCATCTTGTATGTAATTCATTCTATGAATAATTTCTATACTTGTAGCATAGCTCTTCATCTGCTCATTCCTCCTTCAACCACTGGTGCCACACCCATTTCACGATTCTGTTTCTCCACATTGCCATGCCATCCTAAACAATTTACAACAACCAAATATCATTAATAAGAATGCATTAAGGCTGTGTTTGTTTGGGTAATTAGGTTATGAAATTGTATTATATGTCTTGGCTAATCTCCAATCTCATGTTTGGATACAAAACTAGTCAATTGAATCGATTATTTTCCCAAACGGTCCCCATATGGGGGCTTATTGAGTTTCATGAAAGAGGTGGAATACAAAATGAGGGATTAAGAGAGTCATATTAAGGAGTTAAAATATTATCAAACCAATCATTACACTATATAGTCAATATCCAAATAATTTCAAACAAATATGAAATAGGAAAAAAAAATTAGACATAACAAAAAGTATGACGAAGTCGTAGTTTTTGTTTTTTTATTAAAATCATGCGGTGAGCCGTATTGAAACTTCTACTTTGGTGATAAATTTAAAAATTACTTTTCGTGGTCGGTAGAACAACGGAATAAGAAATGATTATACTAATTCTATCCTAATTCAGGAGTATTAAAAATATGGATATGAAATGTAATTTGAAGGGCGGATAATGGCCCTGTTTGGTACAGCTTAATTTCAGTTTATTTCAGCTTTCAGCTTAATTTAAGCTATTTTGATGTGTTTGGTTTAGCTTATAGCTTATAGCTTTGTGGAAGTCAGAAAACAGCTTATTCTTTGAGTGGGGCAGGAGATGCTTTAAGAATAAGCTGGAAATCAGCTTAAGCTGAAAGTTATAAGCTATAAGCTGTTTAGGCATAAGCTATAAGCACTTTCCCACAGCTCTACCAAACAGGGCCCAAGAACGGGGACTCCTGGTCCATATACCAGACGACAGCGATCATGAAATGAACCAACAAGTCGAGAGACTACCTCCTTAAAAAACATGGATGCCACCTGTCAAACATAAAGTGATTGTCCTTAATTTTTTTTTTTTTTTTTTTTTTTGGATCAACAACAAAAGATTTTATTTATAGATCAAAAAAGCAACGGGGATGAGACATCCTCATACAGAGGGAAAATGAAAATACAAAGTGCAGAATCCTAACAATATTATCACAAGCAAAAACTTATTAATCACACACCGACAACCAATCTCTAACTAACAAAAAAAGAGAACCCCCTTAAAGAGTGAATTCCTCGAAGCCCAAAAGAAAGTTAAGTGACAAACTTTATCCCACAAGCAATCCACTTCTCAAAACTTATCTTTAAACAGCCTCGCATTTCTTTTCAACCATAGAACCCAGAAAGTTGCAAAGACAGCACAAGACCATAACATTTTGGCTCTCTTCGATCCTCCAAATGTGCAAAAATTAACTAAGAGCATTTGCGCACTCCTTTTTGGTGCTACCCAAATAACATTTCCCATGAGGAACAATTTGTGACGTAAATTCAAAGCAAAAGGAACATGGTGAAATAAATGATCAACTGTGTCCCCATTCGTACAACACATAATGCACCACTGAGGATTTCGAAAACGATTAGGTTTCCGGTTCTGCAATGTATCATTTGTCAAGATGCCTCCATGAACCAAGGCCCACATGAACACCTTCACTTTTTTAGCGGAGCACAAGCATTCCAATTTCTTTTGCAAAAAGGAATTGGAGGAACTTGAGGATTATCGATGATTTTATCACAAAAAGACTTACAAGAAAATATCCCAGGAAAATGAAGAGCCCACACCCCTAAGAAGCACTGACACTTCTAAGAAGACGACGTATCCGTGTCGTGTCCGTGTCGAACACCGACACTCTTTGGACACTTCCCAGACACATGTCTGACACTCTTCAAAACGTGTCCTATTTTTAAATATTTTTTAAAGACCCAGGTACTCTTTGGACACTTGGAGAGCACACGTGTATATTACTTAAACACACATATCTACCGATTAAACACAAGTGAAACTAATTATAAGTTTGAACAAAACAACTTAAGATACAATAATAAAACAAATACCATATAAATTTATAAAAATTAGCGTCATATTGCATTTTTTATTATCTTTGAATGATATATTCATATATATAACATATAACAAATATATAAAATTATATTTCATATGTGTCACTTACGTGTCGTGTTCTGTATTTTTTGAAAATTGATGTGTTGGCGTGTCTGTGTCGTATTCGTGTTTTGTCGTGTGTCCGTGTCCATGCTTCTTATACCCTCTTGTCCTCCAAAAGAGGAGCCAAAGAAAAATGATCAATCCTAGATAACATAGTAGTCAACTATGAAGCCTACCTATCATTAAGGTTCCTTGAAAAATCAAACTTTTAAGAAATTGGAACCAAAAGTGAACAAGCCATGGAAGCAAGTAAAGATGTGGAAAATCAAAAGCAAAAGAAGATTGAAGATTGATCCAACCAAACATCTTCCCAAAACCGAACAAGTTCCCCATTGCCCACCCTCAAAGAAAGAAAACAAGACTAACATATGTAGATCTAAGAAATAGATTTCCAATGAGCACGATTGTTACCCCTCAAACCAAAAGTGAATCCTTACCATTGTCTTGAGTCCCCATATTTGCTTCCAATAACCACGTGCCAAAGTGAATCACTCTCAAGTGGAAGTCTCCATAACCATTTTGCCAAGAAGGGCCATGTTTTTAGCCACCATGTTACCGATAGCCAAACCCCCTTTCTCCTTAGGTAATGAGACTAAATCTCAATTCACCAAGTGATCCTTCTTCCGCTCATCCTCACCCTCCCGTAGAAAATCACTCATCAACTTTTCTATTGACATTGCCATCTTAACCGGAATCTTGAACAAAGATAAGAAATAAATGGGAATACCACTCAAAGCAGTCTTAAACGAAGATAAGAAATAAATAGGAATAAAGCCTTACTCCACCCTTCCAATCTCTTACCTATCTTTTCCATAACTGAATTCCAAAAAACTTCACTTCTAGGATTACTCCCAAATGGAAGTCCCAAATACTTGAACGGAAATGACTTGATTCCACAACCTAAAAGTGTTGCCCTACTCTGAAACTAGTCCAATCGTGCTACATATTAATGCCAACCACACTACTTTTCTCCAAATTAACCTTAAGCCCTGAAATTTCCTCAAAAAGTCTCAAAATCGCATAAAGATTAACTACCTAACCCTCATCCCCTAAAGCGAAAAATAGGGTATCGTCCGCATATTGTAAATGTGTCACACTAACTCTATCCCTTCACACGTCTAGCCCCGCAAAAAGACCTACATCGCTAGCTTTATCAACCATCCTTCCCAAAATGTCAGCCACCAAGATAAAAAGAAAAGGAGATAACAAATCCCCCTGCCGTAACCCCGGCAACGCCCTAAAGCATTCCCATAGTTTACCATTAACTAACACTAACATGTTGCAAGGCGCCAAACATCCCCTTATCCAAGATCTCCACCGCTCACTACAATCCTTTTTGTCCATTACAAAATCCAAAAATTGTCAGTCCACGTGGTCATATGCTTTTTCAAAATCAACCTTAAAAATAAGTCCCTCCTTCCCTAGACTCCTATACTCCTCTACTAACTCATTTACCACTACATCTAAGATTTGTCTACCTTTCACAAAAGCCCTTGCGCCTTAGACACAGTCTCCCCCAAAGAAATCCTTAATCACTTTGATATCACCTTCCCCAAAATCTTATAAAGTGATGTGACCAAACTTATGGGCTTAAAATCTCCAATTCTGACAACACTCACTTTCTTTGGGATTAAACAAATATATGTGGCTTTTGTGCCCAAGTTAACAACCTCCAACACATGAAATTCCGCAAAAACTCTCACCAAATCCCTATTCACCACCTCCCAACAATCTTGAAAAACGACCATGGAAAAGCCATATGGGCCTGGAGCTTTGTCTCTTTCACAATCAAAGACTGTCTCTCTAATTTCCATCT